CCCCCCCCCCCCCCCCGCTGTTCAAGGTCTAGCGCACAGACTTTCTGTATCCCTCTCCCCGTCTCTGCTTCTCTCATGCAGCGGTGCAATGAACTCCAGGTCGAAATCGTCATCCGTTATTGTTGTGTTGTGTGGCCTACTCATGTGGACAGAGGGCACGCCAGCTCGAAATAGCGCAGCTGCCTTCTCAACAACAGATACGGCACGGTCCAGCTTGAAGATCGAAAAACGCATGACTGTATCGCGGCTGCGGACAAATGATGCGATGTCCTGCTTTATAGAGACCAGATTTTCTAGCTGCTCCGCCGCTCTGGTGGTCTTTGTTGTCTGCTCGATTTCACATTGCAGAACCATCTCTGCAAAAGCCAGTTGCTGCAGGGTCACGCCAAGGTTTACGCCGTCCCTCCTCATCTGGAAAACCTTGGTGAGTGCCGTCTTGAAGGCTGGGGCGCCCAAAGGATCGTTGTCGCTCCGTCTCTACGTTTTGTTCTCCTTCATCTCTGCTCGCATCTTGTTGCGAGTAGGGAGCTGGTGATCCGTTTGCTGCGATCGTACAAGCGGGATCCCTTTTTCAGCCCAGAACCAATGTTTCAGTTGCTATGTTATCTCTCCACGCACGGTTGTCATCATTCTGTTGCACTCCCCTATGACTGCTCGAATCCTGCACTCCGCTACGTGTGATCGCAGTCCTTCCTCGACGTTTTTGCCTATCAGTTTGGCCGTTGTTTGCAACGCCGTGAAAAATTCATGCTCTGTTGGGTACAGAGTTGCGTCCTTTGCTGCTGAGAACGCAAAGGCTTTTGCGACCTCTTCCGTCCGCGCTTCTGTCGTCTTCGCCTGCCCCGTCACCACCCTCATCCTGCACTGTGCCGTCGCTGCTCCTGCCGTCCTCGTCATCAGCGTCGTGAGTGTCGCGAGAATGTCCGTTGGAAGTTTGACTGTCACCTCCCTCGTCACTTGTTGCCTCGTTCTCCTCGCCGTCATACTTTTCTGATATGGACTGGTCGTGTTCCTCTTCTGCTTCCTCTCGGGCCGCGCTGTGCATATCGTCCGAGACTCTCAGATCGATCATCTCCACCATTCTGTCCTTTTTGTACGCGATTCTCTTCTTTGTCCTGCGGTGCACCTTTGACATTCCGTCTTCCCGTGACCTCTTCTCGGCGGTCTTGGGTGGACGGTTCCTGACGCCGCTGACACGGTTCCGTGGGGCAGGAGTCGCAGGGGGTGACTCATTGCGTTCTTTCAGCTTTGAAATTCCCCCCCGACTTGATGGGAGAGAAACTTTTGATCCGTTTCTGCGGCTGCTGGTCCGCTCCGTTTTTGCATTTTGGGATCCGCTTCTGCGATGCTCTCTCCTTTCTCTTTTCTTATCAGCCTTGCATTTCTTCCTCCCCTTGTCCTTCTTTCCCACTGCCTTCAAAAACCTGCATAGATCCTCGTATTTTGACTTTGGAGCCATGACCCTTTTTTCCCCACATACATCAAAGTGGAATACGAACAACAACTGCGTCAGCAATGTCGTGCGTCGATCCATACACCCCTGAAGTGTAATGGCCGCATAGAGAGAGAGAGAGAGAGAGAGAGAGAGAGAGAGAGAGAGAGAGAGAGAGAGAGAGAGGCACAACCAAGATCTTATTGTTGATACTACGACGTCATTTAAGTTACCAACCTCTTTGTGCGTCAGAATGACTGTATCCGTAT